TGCCCTGTAACCCAGCAGGAAGTGGGGGCGTGAGCCCGGAAGAGCTCGGCAGGGAGAAGGACCTGTCTCTTATACACATCTAGATGTGTATAAGAGACAGGTGCCATTAGTGTATTGCTGCCTAATGCAAAACTAAAATCGTGAGTCAGGAATTATCACCAAAAAAAAAAAAAAAAAAAGATCAGGAGAGAAAGAAGAAGCAAGAGATTATCCAGCGGCCTAGCTCAGTTGGTAAGGCACGCAAGTGGCATTCAGGAGCTCTTGGCACCTTCCTGGGCATGCTTGGCGCCCGCCACCTAGAGATAGCCCGTTGGTCCCCCCAATTGGCATTAAAAAGCAGTCTCTGCTGATGTTCATAGGGGGGGGTGTAATCGGGGAGGCACAGCGACTGGCCACTCAGATGATGCTCGGTCCCTCTTCTACCGGCTATCCCCTGGGCGGTGTGCCCCCAATGCATTGGGGGTTCCCTGAAGGCAATAAATAAAGGCCACCCCATGTCAGATTAGACACAATATTGAATTTACCTGGGCTGGTTAGTCCGATGATGATACCTCAAGGCCATCGCCCTTTTTTAAAAAAAAAAAAAAAAAAAAGAAGCAAGAGATTGTTTATAAACCGTACTCCAGCAAGTCCGTATACGTAGGGTTTTGTCTTTACGTTATCCGTAAGGGAGGCGGAAGGGGGAGGGGGGGTGTTCACCCTTGCCCAGTGATCAAGTGATCTTTCTGTGAACGAGGGAAGAAATCACAATGACTGACATGCGTGAAGACTGGCGCATGAAGGCTGCTGCTGCTGTTGGAGTAATAGTAAGTAGAGAAAACTACGGCGCCGTCAGGGTTTCAGGGTTTCAGGGTTTGAGTTTGTAATTGCACTTGACGCAAAAGGGCCGGTAAATTATGCTAAATGTATACGACCTACGTTTCGGGTCCGGTGGGGTCGCGTGGGGGTGTGATGTATTCGCCGGATTGCCTGAAGTGCAATTACAAACTGTTTTCGTGACCGCGCCGAAGTTACCCCTAGTAAGTATTTTAAGAAGAAGCCAGCCTTGATTCTGCAGACGCAGCTTTTGCTAACATCAGAGCCCTATCTTTCTTTCGCCATTTAGAGAGGACCTTCCATCATCGATCTTAATTAGCCACAAGGCTCTTTGGACCCCTAATGACGCCCGCCGTACTTGGGACCGGTTGGAACGTACGTAGGGTATCTCCCCGACACGAGAGCAAAGCTGCAACTACAAAGCATTTTACTTCTTTAGTTTTATTTATATATTTTTGGGGGGGGGCGGCAGGAGGGTTCCACCGAGCGATTCAGCATCGCATACGTTTTCCTCCTAACAAAGACTACTGTCCAATTCTCGATTTCAGAACGAATTTACCAAAAAACGGAAAAAAAAAAAAAAAAAACAGAAAGAAGTACTACTTCGAAGTGAACGCGCAAAAGGTGAAAGCCGTGCAAAGCGAACGCCTTATCCGCCGCCACGTCGGCAATAATCGCACACCAGGATGCGGCCAGATGTATTCGACCACATCTACAACCAAATACAGTCACATAGAGTCCGTACACCACTAGTATTCGACCAAGATTACGACCAGATTCAGTCAATGAAGTCCTCGCACGTTTTCATCGATTCCATCACAACAGCACCCTAATCATGACTGTATCGAACCGGAAAGATATTCCGTATACATTCATGATCAAGATCCGTTGTTCCGCCGACAACAACATAAAATCAAGAACATAAAACTGTCAAATTCTAAGCAGTCCCCTCCTCTAATGCCATTTCAAGCCACCATCATGAACAAAGATATACATACACAATGCCCCCTAATCATGACTGTATCGAACCGGAAAGATCTGTTATATCCATTCACGATTCATGATTCAAGTCCGTCGTTTCGTGGAATATGCTAATACTAGTGAACAACAAAAAATGTCAGTCTGGAGGGGCAGTGCGCTCTAATGTCATTCCAAGCCCCCTTCGGTCCGTCCTCCCCTCCTCCCCCTTCCCCTCTGCCTTCCTCTCCTTCTTCCTCTCCCTCTCCTTCTCCCCCCTTGCCATCCCCTCCTCCCCCTCCTCCTCCTCCTTCTCCTTCTTCTTCTTCTTCTTCTTCTTCTTCTTCTTC